ATGGCAACACTGACAAAGGAGATTAATCAGAACTGGCTTTGACAAGCACTGTGGCAATTGGACAATTAAAACAGACATTCGGGGCAGGGGGAGAAGAACGAACTGGGGAGGAGGGTAGAGAAAACAGTGCAGCAATGAATGAATGAGAACCCAAATCTCTGTAAACGTTCATTAATATGAATAAAATTTTAAAAAAAGGAACTACATTTTAATTCCATCAAAGTAAGGCTGACTGAGAGGCATATGCTGTTTTGTTCTCCAATAATCCTAAAATAAAATAATCCTAGACTATTTTACAATTAGAGCTGTATTTTAGAATATTTTCCTTTTTCTTGCTATTAGTTGCTATCACTTACTTTCAATCTTCCTACTGGCTCCTCCACACATACATTAGTACTAATAATTCACACTTAAATAGAGACAGGTATGTGACTGGTACTCTAGGAAGCTCTTTATATCTATTATTGCTTATGATACAACAAACCTTGGAGGTACTGTTGCATTACGTTTCCATTTCAGAATGATGAAACCAAAGCTTAGACAGCAGTAGTAACTTGTCCAAAGTCTATCGAGTAAACGGTGATTCCTGGATTTAAAACCAGTCTGCCTAGAGCCCAAACTCTGTCTTGCACACACCAGAAAAACTCTCAGTGCATGAACCCTGAAGCCAAGTTGCCTAGTGTTGAAACTTCACTCCGTTGTTTTTGTGGTGAATAACTTATTTGGATTAATTTGTTCTTTCAGCTGTAAAACTAACAACCTAGCATCCTGGAAAATCCTTCAGTTCTAGAAAAATTCTGACAGTTGGCCACTTAGTGTTGGTGTAACTACAAACATATCACTTAGCTCTTAGGACCTCAGGTTTTCCATATTTTAAAAGGATGATCTGAAGAGAAACCGGAAAAGTAGTTTCCCCCACATTTTAAAGGTTGGAAGTGGGAGAAGTCTAGTAACAGTTGTTGTGTACTGTTGAGTTGGAAATGACCCACAACTCATGTTCTAAAGGGTTTTCAGAGGCAGTTAACTGCATAGGAGGAGAATGCCCATTTTTCTCCCATAAAGCAGTGGGTGGACCCAAACCATGTACCTTTGTGTTGGCAGTGCAAAGCTCTGGTTGTCTAGTGACAAAGGAGCTGCACTACAATTCCAAAGGCACATGGTCCAAGGCCACCAGTTGCTCCACAAGAGAAAGATGGGCAATCTTCTCCTGAGCAATTAACTGTCTCTGAAAATCTGCCAGAGGGTCAGCTCTGGGTGGGTTCGAATTCTATCATACACAACAAGAAGAAGAAGCCACTGGAACTCTGGCAATAGTATATGTGTTAAAACACTATTGCAAGGATTAAATTTGATAAGTCTATATGAAGCTCTTGGAAAAAGGACATGTTCTTTTTGTTGCTGTTTTTGTCGATTACCTTCGAGTTGAGCATGACTCACAGCGACCCTATGAACAAAAGGCCTGAAGCCCCTCTACAACCATCAACATTTATCAAAGTTCATAGAGTTTCTGGAGGCATATTATTTAGGAAGTGGATGCCACTCCTGCTTCCAAACCTGTCACAGTATGTTATTGCTGTTATGTGCCATTGAATTGCCTGTGACATATAGTAGCCCTATGTACAGCAGCTCTGAACCCTTCCTTGACATGAGCCAGTCATAATGTTAGTATTTTCTCTTATTTCTAAGTCACAATGTTCTTCTAATATGTTATGAGTCTACTGTTTTAAATAACATTTGGTAGAAATGTGAATGTCAAATAAGGTTTTTCTGGTGAATAAATGATGCAATCTTGTAATATCTTTTACAGTCTTTATTATTTTGGGCTAATTAGTGCTCTTCAGCTTTTAATCAGCTAGACCTTATTGCTGAGTGAGTATAATGCAAGCAGTTTAAATGAAAAACAGATTTGAAAACTGAAAAAGTACACATAGCAGACTTGGCTGGTTATTTCTGCTGCCTCATCTGCTGATTAATTCTCTGCTCTTCTGCACCGAAATGCACTGCAGGGGAGTCTCCACCCAGTTCCTCCAGTGGTATGAAGATAAGTCAAAGCCATTTAAGTAACTCATCCTAATGGTCCAAGACTGTTGTTGTCAGGTGCCACTGAGTCAGTATGACTCATATAGTGACTCTGAACAACAGTCCTATCCTGGGCCATCTTCATTATCGCTGACAACTTGAGTCCATTACTGAAGTCACGGTGTCAATCTGTCTCATTACGGGTCATTTGCTCCTCTGCTGACCCCTCCACCATTCCAAGCATGATCTCTCTTTCCCAGGAACAGTCTCTCCCAGCAATCTGCCCACAGTATGAGACATGGAGCTTCATCATCTTTGTATCCAAGAAGCATTTTGACTGCACTTTTTCTGAAACAGACTGGGTTATTAGTGGTTAGCATATGACCCTGTTTTGAAAAAATTAAATGTATGGAAAAACTCTGCTCTGGGCTCCCAAGAAAAGGGGTTAGTGAAAGTGACTCTTGGGGCCACTGGAGCGATCCTGAGTTCATGAGAGATCTGTCTTCAAATGAAGCCAACTCTGTGGTGGCATAGTGTTGGTAGGGAGTTGCCCGGCTAACCTAAAGGGTGCATCTCCAGTAGTCTGACTTCCAGAAGCTCCACAAGGAAAAGATGGGCAATTTCCTCCACGCAATTTACTGCCTTGGGAACTCACTGAAGAAGCATCTCTGAGCTGTTTCCAACTGAAGGGCAATGAGAGGGAGCAAATGCTGAAAAGGTGAGCAGAATCATGAGATCTGTATCTTTGCAAACATCATCAAGTCCCAGCATTATAGCCTTGTGTCACTCAACCTGGAAACTTGTTTATGAAATGATGAATTCTCTTATTATTGTATTTAGACACAGTAGAAATGATCTATATTCACATCAAAAAGGAAAAAAGAACCCCAAACAATTCACTGCCATTCAGTCAAGTTCAACCTCTACTTCTGAGGCTGGAAATCTTTATCAAAGGAGATTGTCCATCTTCCTCCCATAGCGGAGCTGGCTGATTGAAGACTGTGAACTTTTCTTAGCAGCCCCACACACCAGGGTCTATGAGTGAACTAATTAGTAAGTTCCAAAATAAATCAGAATGGCATGATTTTGAGGAAAAAAATACAATGAAACAGCACCGCAGAGTAAAAGAAGTGATAAAGTACAACTAGGCATAAGATGTAGGAAAACCCATGAAGAGAAACTGAAAACCAGAGAATGATTTATTTGGATCGGTGAACTATCATATGAAGTTTACACATAAGGGGTGAGATTAAACATATTCATTGTATAGTATGAGAGTAAAAGAAGAAAGTTAGATGTAAAAAGTGCTATCTTGGAAATTTACAGTGAGGACAGAAATGAGAAATGCTGAACTAATTGAAATATGCCTCCAATTTTCATAGTATTCAAGGAGTTTCTAGGAAAACAGAAATAAAAGTGTTACCACAGAATTAACCTGGAATTTAAACAAATAAAAAGATTGGTTGTAGAAAAATAATAGTCATTACACTAAGTATTTCCTACAGTTGAGATTTTTTTTCACTCGAGAGAAAGCTGTTATATGCTAATTATATCAAGACAGCAATTCACCATTAGGTAAAGCATCCGGATTGTTGATAAGAAAGGGCTCAAGCCAACACAGCACGAGTTGAAATGGCCCCTCTTCTCCACACCTACCTGCAGAGGTACATCTGGATCCATGGTAAGTTGGGGGGTTTTCTCAGCCCACGGCAAGAATTTCTTAGTGCTATGGTCCAGGTAATAATCAAAGATTGTTCCCTGGGATGGGAACTTCACTGCTTTCATCTCTTTATGCCACCACCGACTGAATTCAGCTGGGTAATCAGAAAGCTAAAGGGAGCAACAGAAACTCCTTAACAATTTACAGAGAATTTTAAAGACATTCAAAGCCCTTCTAAATGCTGCTAAACACACACTTCTGAGAGTTAATACATGTGTACAGAGTCAAGATGATAAGTTTTCAATATGAACTTGAATAACTGACCCAAGAAAACTAGACATAAGTTACAATGAGTGACACTATCTGAGAACCTTATAGCTGCCATATATTCATCAGGTATCACCTTTCCTTGATTAGTTATTAACTTAAGACACAAGCCAAGGCTATGTGAACCACAGATTGCTGTGTGTTGTTCTTAGGTGCCACCAAGTCAAGCATTACTCATAATGACCCTATGAACAAAAGATCTAAACCCTTTTGTATCCTGCACCATCCTCACACTTCCTGACGAAGAAAAGCCCATTAAAACAGTCACCATATCAACCCACCTGGTTGAGGTTCTTTCTCTGTTTCGCTAACCCTCCACCCTTCCAACATGTCCTTCTCCAAGGACTAGCTCTTCCTATCAACATGTCCAAAGTATATGAGGCAAAGCTTCATCTTTCTTGCCACCAAAAAGCACTCTGGCTACACCCTCTCCAAGATAGATCTGTTGATTCTCTTGGGCATCCATGGAATGTTCAGTGCTCTTCTCCACCACCACAGCTCAAAGGCATAAATTCTTTTTCTGTCATCTTTACTTATTGTACAGCTCAGATGCATAGCTAGCATTCGGAAAGACTATGGCCTGAATCAGATGTACCTTAGTCCTCAAACTGACATCACTATTCCTCAATAATTTGGAAAGATCTCTAACTGCAGATTTTCCCAATGCTATGCGTCTCCTTATTTCCTGACTGATCATACCAAGGGTGTTAATTGTGGATCCAAGCAAAATAAAGCTGTTGATAATTTCAATCTCCTTTCTATCCACCATGATGCTGTTAATAAGTCCAGTGAAAAGAATCTTCATTTTCCTGACATTTAGATGCAATCCATACCAAAGCCTACATTCCTTGATCTTCTGCAACAAATGCTTCAAGCTTTCCTCACTTTGAGCAACTAAGGTTGCATCATATGCATAACAGAGATTATTGATGAGTCTCCCTCCAATCCTGATGCCACATTAATCCTCATAGAGTGCAGCTTCTCCAATAATTTTCTCAGCATACAGATTGAATAGGGATGGAGAGATTAGTCTCTGATTATTAATTTAATATGGAGATATCGTGCAAATTATACCAGGTGACACAAGACAGTGGCTATCAAATACTGTTACTGATTTCTATTATTGTTAATATCAATAGGTGATAAAATTAGAAACATTAACTTAATGAAATGATTTAAAACTTTGCAATGTTCACTTATATACTTTTTCAAATTCTGTTTAAAGGCTTCCTGGAAATTTTGATATTGAGATATGTTAAACAGTAATTTTTTAAAAAACGGTTACATTGGTTTATGTACAAAGTTTGTATAGCTTGTGTTTCATACTACCCTTCATTCACATTGTTTTATACAATCATTTTCACTGCTTTATAAGTTCAACCACCAGTAACATATGCTCTTCCCTACCCTGTCCTTCCTTTATCACCCCCTGCATGCACTCATCAAACTATGTGACTCTATGTGACTCTATGATTTCTCCCCTTCCCACCCTCACCCCTCTGTTCCCACTCCTCCCTTAGATCCTCATACACATTTTACTTGTTATCCTTCTGATTTTACACCAATGGTTCTATGCAGTATTTACTCTTATAAGACTAAGTTAACGTATTATAATGCCCTCTAATCTCCCTCAAGTTGTGAGGCAATTTTTGAAATCATTGCTCCTGAGTGCTGTGTAGTATTCTACTCTGTGACTGCACCACATTTTTTTTTAATCCATTTGAGTGTGGTTCGACATTTGGGCTGTTTCTTTTCATTTTGAATAATGCTGCTATGAACACTGGTGTACAAATCTCCATTTGTGTTTAAGTTCTAATTAACTTGGGGTATGTTTCCTAGGAGTGGAATAACTGGATCATAGGGAATATTTTCAGCTTTTTGAGGAAATGTCAAACTATCTTCCAGAGCAGTTGTACCATTTTGCAATCTCTCCAACAGTGAGTGTATCAGAGTTCCCACCTCTCCACATCCTCTCCAACATTTATTACTGCTGTCCTACTAAGCTTTGCCACTGCTAGAAGGGCGAGATGGTATCATATTGTAGTTTAGATTTGCATCTATCTTATTGCTGGTGATTTTGAGCATTTCTTCATGTGTCTGTTGGCCATCTGAATGTCTTCCTCTGTGAAAAGTCTTTCCATATCTATTGCCCATTTTGTAAATGGGTTATCAGTATTTTTCTTGTGGAAGTCCTGTAGGATTCTGTAAAGTTTTGTATGACACCCTTGTTTGAGATGGTACTGCCAAACACTTTTTCCAGCCAGTAAGCTTTCTTTTCACTCTACTGGGGAAAAAATTCTGGTGCACACAAGGCTTTAATATTTAGAAAATCCCATTCATCAATTTTACCCTCTCTTGGTTGTATATTTGACAGTATCTTTATACCATAGGTGCGGTCTTCTAAGCTTGGGACCAATTTGTTTCTTATGATGTCTATGGTTTTGGTCTCGGACCCATCGTGAGTTGATTTTTGTGTACGGTGAGAGGTGTGCAACCTGCTTCAGTTTTCTGGAGGCAGTAGTCCAGTTTTGCTGGCACCATCTGTTGAAGAGGTTGCCATTTCCCCATCTGATAGCTTTCATTTTCTTGTCAAATATCAGTTGAACATAGCTAGATTTATTTCTGAGTTCTCGATTCTGTTCCACTGGTCTATATGCCTTTTATTGTACCTGTACAATGCTGTTTTGGTTATTCCAGTTGTACTATACATAGGTTTTGAGATCAAAACCTAGGGAATGCTATGCCTCCTACCTCACTCCTGTTTTTCAGAAGTTCTTTGCTTACATGTGGGTCTCTTTTCTCTCCAGATAAACTTGACAATTGCCTTTTCAAACGTCTTGGAAAAAAGAATTTGTTATCTATATTGGCATTGCTTTAAACATGTAGATTGCTTTAGGCATGACTGTAATCTTCGCTATATTGAGCCTACCTATTCAGAATCAGGAAATATTTTCCCATTTATTTAGGTCTTTTATTTTTTATTATTATTTTTTTATTTCCATTCATTCATTGTTGCACTTTTCTCCCCTTCCAAACCTCTCCCCTAGTACACTACCCTCTTGAAAAAGTAAAAGAAGAATTCTTTTATTGTTTTCTAATCCTTCCCCCCAGGTCCACTCTACTATGCAGCCTTTGCTCTGGACTCCTGCCATGACAAAAATACCTAACCACATATCCCTTTTAAACAGTTATCTCCCTCATCTGTTTCAATGCAGTATACATTACTGAACCCATCTTTCTCAATCTCCCCCCAACCCTGACGTCAGTCCTGTTTTACAACAGTGGTACTGTGCAGTATTTGTTCTTTTGTGA